TATTTTCAAACCAATTTGAGAGAAAACATTTTTTGAACTATCGTTTACCACAAGATGGCGTCAATTACACATAGAAGCTCTGCAGCTTTTTCGAATGAATGGGAGATCAAATACAAAACAGACTGAGAGATTTAAACAGGTCTAATCCTCGGTTATAATGGTTTGACACAGACTGGCAACAAACCTACAGGAAACCTGAAAAAGAAAATACAAAAGAGAAATATACATTTATGGGATACAGACATTTTTGCAGCCTTCTGTTTGATGTGCAATCACATAACTGGAAAAAAGAAAATGTTCACACTTTCAAAAGCTGAAGAGCATGTGTAATGTTTTGTTATATATTGCATGTCTTTGCTTTTGTCTCCTTCCTGTGCACATATATTCCTTTATAAGGCTGCACATACTGTATTCTAAGAGTGCTGACTTTATCCCTGTTAATATAAAGAAATAAACATACATGGTCTTTACTTGTGTATTAATGGTTACTGGAGCTAGAAAGCAGCAACAGTCTCATTACTCCCACATCATATTCTCAGTTTGTAATTACAGAGACTGAAAGACTTTGTCACGTAAACTAGAGTGGCCCTCAGTTATTCAGCAACCAAGTGTCGTTTGCAATTTATTTCCCACAGGACTCCAATAACTCCCCTTGGAATTCTGTAACAGGTTCAGTAAAGTGTAAATTAGAGAGCATGCAGTAGAGGGCTTTCGATGTCCAAGACAGTAATTGTCTTAACGAGAGACACTAAAGTCGACCACAGCAAGAGCAGTGCGGAGCAGAACGATGATTCAGTGGACTCGAAGAAATAATCTGTTTATTATTTCCTCACTGGCAGAAGCTCACAGAGCGTTAGACATGTTAACAAGGCTGTCTGAGAAAGCAGACAGGAGGATGTGGATGTGGAAGGAAGAGGAGGAGGGGATGGAGGGGACAGGAGGCACAGAGTTAATCATCTTCTTACTGTCTGTAAACACTGTAAAAAAAAAAAATTGATTCCTACCTGGCTTACTTAAAAAGAGTGAGAGATATGAGACAGTCTTGTTTCCGAACTAGGAATTTTAGAAACCTGCAAAAACTGTAGTTGAGGCTGAAGCAGCAGCTGAAACTATTTTAGTATTAGACTAAAAATTGATCTGGGGAATAAAGAGGGAAGGAAAACTGGTGGTAGAGAAACTGTAAGACTATGTGATTCACTGGGACAACAATTAAAAGACTCTGGGCTCGAACCTGCCAGTCAGAGCTTTTCTGTGTGCATTGTCCAGGTAATCAGGGTTCATCCTACTGTCCAAAGACAAGTTACAGACCCTAAATAGGTGCCATAGGTTTGAATGCAGATGGTTGTTTTCTGTATGTCGGCTCTGTTATTGAAAGGCAAACTGCAAGTTGTATCTGGCCTATCTCATCCAAAATCCACTGAAATCAGAAACGCCACAACCTTTAAAGGATAAGCAGTATCGATAATAAATGAATAGAACAAAATTTAAACAACAGTGCAGGCAGCATGTGGAGTCGTTTTTCTCTCTTTTTTTCAGGGAAAAGGCTATTAAGGCAAATAGAAACAAAAAAAGATCTGTGTTTATACCCAGTTGTTTTTGTTTGTGTCCAGTTAAATAGAGTGAAACTACAGGGGGAAAATAAACTATATTGGGACACTTAAAACTTCCTTGCCATCTGTGAGCACGGCTGCGAGAGGAGGATATGATATAGAAGAAGTGGAGAGGTTTGAGGAAGTGCTCCATGCTCCGGCTGCAGCCCAGATGTCATAAGAGAGAAGGAAAGACACATGGACCTCAACACTGTATTGGCAAGAGTAATAAAGGCTGCTGTGGTAAGAGTGTTACCCATATATCCTGAATATGCAGTTTGCTCCAATATCATTTCAAATATACAGCTTTAATCAATATTTGAAAATGTTCTCTTTTGTTTTCCTTTTTTAGCATCTGACCACTAACTGCTACTGTGCATGTAGCTGCTGAAGAGCCAGATTTATTATTTAGAGTTGGGGCTAAAAAGACAGAAATGATATCAGACAGCATTTGTTCACATTGTCCATCGATAAATCACCTAAATCTTCTTTTGAAGGTGTAATTAAGCATCCAAGTGGGTGATAATTACCAGTTGTTGAAGGTATTTCCCTGCTTTGAATATTGTTTCCCTCTTATTACAACAACGTTTCCTGGTTGGGTTCAGAGCTTGTATGGTTAGTTTGTCAGTTGAATTGTGGAACAGTGCCAGTAGGTGTCGCTATATCAGATATGACATGTAACATACACTGTGACATTTTACTTTGACCACTGACGTACAAACAAATGTTCGGCAGGTATCCCTGACTTTCTCAGCCTTGGGTCTTTTCACATTTAAAAGGATGTGGAGTTTCTCTTTCAACAAAATTGTGTAGTAAATGTGGCCCTACGGCTGTGACATCCTGCACAGTGTGTAATTACACATCTAAATGTTTAAACGTACTGAGTAGTTAAAAGAGACAGCATTCTTCCGTGACACGTTGGGGCATGGTGCAGAGACAGAAACCAAAACAAGACACTGAGCGTAATATACAGCTCTGATGAAAAGATTGACAGACAGCAACTACGAGGACACTCAACACTTTTACTTTTACTAGAATGTACTGAATGAGTGAGGACACACGTGGTTCACACAAATAT